TCTTCGTATGTTTTTACAGCTTTTTCACAGGCATGATAAAAGCTGTCCAACGGGTGCATGCTGCATCGAAACGAGTTCAATTTCTCACCGAGAGCTTCTTCCAGTTTCCTGTCTACGCAGTCATTCGTCACACATCTATCTGTCATTGTATTTTTTACCTTTGATAGAACAGGTTGGCCACATATGTCTACAATAGTCTCAACATAATCTTTAGCAGTGGCTCCAACCTGCTGACGTACCCCTAAAAGGAAGGTATCGTTTTCAGAAGATATTTCCACTTCAGTCAGGTGGCCTTTTGACTTTGTTGTGCCGTCATATTTGACTGTGAGATTATCGTGTTCAGCTATCATTTCATTAACCTGTTTTTGGGCCAACGCCTTCATCTCACTGGAGAATCGATTTTGAGTTGAAACAGATGGAAGTGGCCCTATTTTTTTCCCAGTGATAGTTTCAACAACTGTTTTGATAGCACCGCTGGTGTTCTTCTCTGCCATTCCAAGCTCTTGTAGGTAGTAAGATACTTCCCTCACAGTATCAGTGTATGTTTTGCCAACTTTTGTTTCTATGAAGTGATCTTTCTCGTCAAGTTTCACTAGTTGTTCATTTTCCAAGTATTTGATGTATTCATTGGCATTTTTAAGTAGCTGTGATTGTCCTGGCCGAGTTTTGTAGTGCATTTGTTTACTTGACTTTGCTCGCTTCAGTTGTTTCCGGAGTCTCCTATTTTCCTTTCTAAGCTGCCTCAAGTTTTCATCTTGTTGCTTTCGTTTTCTGCTAAGCTTCTCTGCATGTAGTTCTTTTCTAGCATTTGAGTACTTTTTCTTCCACAGGAGGATTGAGTTTTGTTTCCTGCTCAGCGTTTGAAGGACATGTTTGCGGTTCCCCACAGTTCCAACGATAGAAAAAACTGACTGAAGTTTGCATGTGGTATCAGCAAGACGGGCTTCAGTCTTTCCCAGTTTTTCTCTAGTATCAGCAAGCTCTCTCTCCACTCTCTCCAGCTTAAGTTTCGCCTTTTGTTTACTGTTCGTCAAGAGCTCTGTTTTATCTTTCTTTTGAATCTTTGCTGGTAACCTAAATGGCCCATCAAGGAATAGCCTAAGCTCTACCTTTCCCTTTGCAGAGGTGGTTTTCAGAAGGGCTGTGCGTCTTTTCTTCAATGATGAAAATATACGCTTGAGGCAATCATGACCTAACCAAGATAAATCTTCATGATAACTCGACTCCAATGCAGAAATTATGATGGAAAAATCGACGTTCCCTTCTGCTAAAAGTTGTTTGTAGATTTCTAAAATGAAGCCATTTGTTATGTTTGATGACTCAACAGTAGGCAGTTTGTTCAACCAATTATTCGAATTGATATTTAATAAATCACAATTAGGTCCTAGAGACTGTGCAGATTCACATTCAGGGCTACTGCCTAAAGATGGCAAAGGTACATGTATCATGGTGTAGACCTTGTTGATGAGATTGTTCGAAGAGATGATGATCACCGTGTTTTGCGCAAGAAGGATAAGGAGGATTAGGATGAAGGGGGATGTGGGGATGGAGGGAAGTGCAAGCTATAGTGCAACAGCCAGAGCAGGGTTAAAATGGGTGCAGATGAAAATGCATGAAGTGCAGGTGGATGAAAATTAAAAAGTGATGCATCAAATGAAGTAAGCATGTATACATCAGATGTGATGAACATTGTAGGCAACCTAGAAAAAAAGCAAAATGGAGGCACTAAACAGCACATTAAAAACAAACGAGACAAGACTTGTTTAAAGTATCACTATTAAACATTGACCTAAGCAGCACAGTGTTTTTAAATTGTTCCCAGTTACATTTTATATTATATGGCCAAGTGGAAATTTCCCTCCACCCCTCCACCCCCCCCCCCCACCCACCACCGGAAAAAAAGGGGGGGGGGTCAACCCAACTTCAATTTCCAAGACCAAGTTCCAGCATGACAACAACCTTTCTTTTTTTTTTTCTTTTTTTAGGCTAAATATGCCCTGGCCTAAAGTTAGGCGTACCATAAATTGTTTGTTTTAAACTTAAAAGTCTCAACCTTATTCACAAATTGTTCACAGTTGAATTTTATATTTTATTATCATATTAGGGCCTAATGTTAGTAGTGGATATTTACCTGCACCCCCCCCCCCCCCTTCATACTAATGTCACCATAATCCCCATCAACCCAAAGTTCCAACTTCCAAACCCACAGCAAGATCGGCAAGACCAAGTTTCCAAAACAATTTTTTTTTTTTTTTTTTAATATGCCCTCCCATCATGACCATGTTTCTTATGTCACTCAGAGTCAGATTCCCTTTAATTTCTCTCCTTGGCCAATCTTTTATGACCAAAAAGTTATCTTTATTAAAACTGGTACATTTAAAAAAAAAATAATAATAAATTATTCTAATTTCCTTCCTCCAAGATTATCCTTAAAAATCCTAGTATTGTTTTATTGCCGTTCCAGTACCGCACTGTGATGCGAGTGAACCTCTTATTAATGCATGAAACAGTCATCGGGTATTACGCTTCCGCGTCACGTCATGCACCGACCGCAAAAACGCCTAGTACCAGCGAGCTGTACGTGCATGGTAATCGACCGCCATTCATTGTACACAATTTTTTTTTGTGCACAAACCAATTGCGGTCCTGGCATGCCAGTAAGGTTGTCAGGTTAGCGGTTATTCCTCCTGTTTTCACTGCAATTGTAGGCTGAATCTTCATCGTGGATCGTTTTTTACTTCAAGGACCTGTGTAATGGTTATTTCAGGTAAGTTTGGGGTGAGTTGCAGTTGCAATTAGTGTGTAACGGGGACAAAATTGAACATTTTCCAAAAATTTTTGCCTATACTATCAGTTACGAGAAAAACTAGCTCCAGCCCTAAATGACAACCCAATGATAAAACTCAGGGCTGGGTAACTCCAGCTAGTCCAGCGCGCACAGCGCCCTCTATCGGTTGTGACCGTACCTATTAAAAGGCCTAATATGAAATGTGATAGGGCATACTGCATGTTGTCTCGTTAAGGTCATAACAGTTCAATTAAAATAAAATTGTGTTTTCATAACTCACTCCATGCTCAGGCTGCGACGAATTGACTATGTTTTTAACCCCAGACACCGCATACAAAAACAAACGCTAATGTAACGCACAGGCATGACAGGCATGACACTTGACAGGCACCAGATTATTCCTCATTCGCATACGTGTTAAAAAATCTTGCACATGTATGCAAATGATCCAATATCAGGGTGAGAGAGCAGGGAGCAACTATAGAATGCAGGGCCACGCCGAAGCAAGGTTTTTTATTTTGCCTGGAGGCGTGGATGGAAAAGGAGTAATAGATATGCAAACCTGCAATAAAGTGCTAAGTACAGCGAAGGAATGCACTGCACTTGTCTTCTAAGCTTCTCATGAAGGATCGGAAGGGAGGGCGTGCTTGTAAATGTGTTGGGGGCACTGTCTGGAGCGGCGGAGGCGCGGAGTCTTGGAGTCGCAGAATCGCGGAGACGCGGGGCACTGGAGTGGCCGCAGTCTAGTGGCGGAGGCGCGGAGTCGCGGAGTCGCAGAGACTCGCGCCGATAGAGGGCGCAATTCTCGGCGGAATTTTTTTGAGAACGAAGCATCCATATCCATTTTAAATGGGCGGGCCAATTAGGAAGGGAGGAGGGCGACGGGGCACTGTCTGGAGCGGCGGAGGCGCGGAGTCTTGGAGTCGCAGAATCGCTTTAAATGGGCGGGCCAATTAGGAAGGGAGGAGGGCGACGGGGCACTGTCTGGAGCGGCGGAGGCGCGGAGTCGCGGAGTCGCAGAGACACGCACCGATAGAGGGCGCAATTCTCTGCGTGACGCGGGGCACTATACACTGGAGTGGTGGAGGCGCGGAGTCGCGGAGTCGCAGAGACACGCACCGATAGAGGGCGCAATTCTCTGCGGCTCCACGACTCCACGATCGATTTTCAGAGGTAGGTCGACTGCGGTTCCACGCCTCCACGCAGCCGTACGGAGGCGCGGATGTAGAGTAAAGTGGCCCTGCATTCTATAGTTGTACCGAGAGCAGGTAGTGGTGGGCGCATACTGCTCGACACCCTGGGGACGAGGTTGGAAGCGACCCCCCCCCCCCCCCCCCCCGGTTTGCACTGGGTTTTTTTCGGTCAGGCTCATTGATATTATTAACGCCTGCTACAAAGTTAACTAACTGAAGATCTACTATCATCTAAAAAAGCGCATCATTCAAAAAATACTCTTACCTAAAAAGCAGTATTCTGACCCCAGATTTGGCCGTGTTTTTTTATTGATTTCTGTCCGTGGCCTACGTGTCTTCGTCAGCGTAACACGCTGCTGCAGGTATATCGGGTACGGTATACGGTGGTTGACGGTACGGTCAGGATGACCGTAAGGTCCAGGGTGACCGTAAGGTCAGAGCCAAATTCTGCTAAATGCACATAAAAACTCTGTCAGATTTATCAAAAATCTGCCAAATTCCCCAGAATTACTCGAAATACAATATAAGCACTTAAAATCACATGCAGATTAGTAGTATTGCCTTACTTAAGATTCAAATTACATAATAAACAATCTAGTCACATAAAGTTGTTGTGATATTGGTAAATATTATTGGGCAAAACGCGGCCACGACGAAATTTATTTCCCAGTGAACCTCAGCACCTGGACCAGCCAACCTGTCCCATTATGCAAGGCTTTGTTTGAAAGGATTGCAGCTTTTTAAAAAACAAACAAATGTACACTTTTGTGTTCAAATTTGCTGTTTTTTGTCAAATAACCATTTTTGCAGAATTCTGCCAGATATCTGCCCAAAAAAAATCCATTCTGTCAAATTTTCTGTCAAACTCGTTTTTAAACAAAAACCTGTCAAAGTTAGCCGAAAATCGGCTAAAACGGTCACCTTGGGTACGGTACCGGTATGGTACACGAAAGTGACACATTGATTATCACGTTGGGGATACTGGGCACCATACATCGCACCTGGAGAGAAGACCGCCGTAGAAGTGGTATAGCGCCCTCTATGAATGCTACGAAGACAAACCACTGAAGTGCAGTGAAGGCCAAGTTTCCAACAAAATTGTTCCATTTCAAGCAAGCATGTCAAGTTTTGAGATGATCGCGGTATGAGTCGGTTTATATATCATGACACTTTGACAGGTTGTCGCAGTTTGTTTACTTTAATCTGAATAAGTTATGACACCCTGTGCAGTCATGGCAGTATAGACTGGCAAATGACTGGTCTGAAAAATTCTAAGTGTTTTCTCAGTAGGCAGGCTATTATAAGTCCGTAGCCCTAAAGACTGTGGCCGCGGTATGCTGCGCTGAACGGCCACACTAGTGGGGCTAGCTAGTCCGAGTATTAAACTAGGAGTAGGACTATCGCCCGACCATCTCCAAATGTTAGAAAAGGTGATTCGTACTTCGTAGAGTCCTAGTTACTCGGACTAACAACATGTGTATTCATGAGTGAATGAATGCATCATACGGTTTGGTTATACTTTGCTGACTTACTCGTCAGTGAAAAGGGGCCTAGAAAAAGGCCAGTTTTGAAACGTGTACTGAAATGTGTACTTCCCTGATTTATAATGTACGTTTTCCAGCTCTTACTGTGAAATATCCAATGATGCATTATATTAGAGCTGGAGGCAGTGGAGTGGGGTTTACCAATTAAGTTAGCTGATACCATGGTAACATGGTAAGCATCATAGCATGCTGTTACCATGGTAACATATGTATATTTTATGATTTAGTTGTGACCAGTTGTGACCATGGATCCTGATGAAGCAGCAGTTGATGCTATGGGTGAACAGGCTGGCGGTGATAATCTCCTGAATCCTGTAACCATGGCAACAAGTTTGCATCCTCCCGACTCCAGCTCCCTGGAGGACAAGAACCAGAACGGTACGATGAGCAGGCCAGACGCGTCTGAGACACCCGACACAATCATAAGCAGTGCTAGTCCAATTGAAACTGGTGATGAAGGAGCAGTTTTTGATGAGGACTCACACGAGATCGTTCTTGAAGATGAGACTAAGGATAACAATGGGATACTCGGTGTGGAGGACGTGGGCTCAAGAGAAATAGAAACCGATGAACCTGCAAGTGACTTTGCACTGATCGTAAATGGTGATTCACAAGAAATGGATGATGTTAGGGCATCAGCTGGAGGCTCATCAGATCAGCAGGGCCTTACTGAGGAAAGCAGACCAGATGGAGAAGGTCGGAGGCAAAGACAAGACAGGGAGGATGATGAGGGAAGGAGCAAGGATCAAGACCAGACTCTGGCAGGAGATGGTTCTAAAGAATCATCAGGTATTCTTATTTTAATTATTGGGTTTCACCAATGTGACTTTGTAAGAGAGTGTCTTATAAGTTGGGAACATCCACGGTCCAGTGAAACGTTCCCTTTGGAACGCAAGACGGTCCATTGGAATGATCCTTGTTCTGACTAGAACGCAGAGACCTTCCGATTTGTGTAGGGACCCTTCCGAGCTTGTAATCCGCTAGAGCACGCAGGGTGTTCCCGATGGAATGCTTCCTGCAGAATATAAGTCGGGTTGGATGTAGGACTGGTATTTAAACACGTAGACACTGGGCAAAGTTCCGAAGGCTTGACTGATTTGGCCTCAATCATTTTATAACACGTAGATGGCGCCTTCTGTCCACTTTTAAGGGCCCAAGTGGGACACACCTTGTGTGCATACTGGTTACTGTGTGTATGGCATGAAGCACATGTATGCCCGATTAATTTTATTATGAATATGCATAACGTTCCGATGGCGTTTTCGCATGAGCATCAGGTGCAGTCGGCAGTGCATTCAAATGTTCATCCCAGTGGTCTCCCCCATCTCTCCCTTTGAAACCATTCAGGGGGGTAATTTGTGCACGTGCTCCTTAACGATCCCCTATTCTAGATCCGGCAGAGCAAGGAGACCTTCCCGATGACCCAGTCAACCTGAAGAGGCACCAACGAGCCAGTCTGTACAGGCAAGGATTGAAGCACCAAGAGACGGAAGGCAATAGTGAGGAAGCCTTACGCTGCTACCTGGCTGCTATTACTGGCTTGACTGAGAGTGAAGCCTTCACTGAACTGCCACAGTGCCTTCACCAGGTAGGAACAATAAAACTGCGTGCAATCGAGACGTCACCACAGAGAAGCCAATTTTGAAGCACAATGCACAAAGGATCATTTGCATTTACAACAAAAAATGTATTCCAAAAGTCAACAGATCTCAACCCATCAAACCCCAACGGCATGGTTTTTTTTTTTAATCTGTCAGGATGGGTACAGTACCCCTAAACTGACAGTCTTTTACATTGGGTTGGTACACCTCCAGAATCAAAGTCAGAAATTTGCGTGTGCAGTTTCCCATATGGTGTCGGAATTTGCCAGGATGGGTGTGGTTCCGAGTAAATCATGCAAGGGAGTTAGGGTTAAAGATGAACATCCCGTGAAATTATTCTGACTGGCTTGCTATCATTTAATGAAAAGAAATCAAGAAATGTAGGAGATTTCCAGTGATCAGTCGATGGATCATGGGCAATAAACATTTACATGTACATGTATATAGACAATACGTACATGTACATGGTTTTCACTATTTTATCAAAAAGTGTAATATCCACTGAGCAGAAACTTAAACAGCTTAGGTTTTGAATATTATCCTTTGGATTTTGAGTGGTGTCATTATTGTAAACGAACAAAGTTAGTGATCTTATATGCCGTTAAGGTGCAAAAGTTCATTTGTGCAGGCGGACCTGCAATTGTTTTGTACAAGGATTCAGCAGTTGTCATTAGATTGTTGTGTGACCTTTTGCATTCTTTCCTGCAGATTTCCAACATCTATTTTGAGAAGAAGGAATGTATCCTTTGATTATTTTCAAGAAAATCCTGATAATAAAAAGATTATTCTGTGATCAACCAATCAAATAACAATTGGTGTTGAAATGAAAATGCTGCAGCAAATATTACAGTTTAATTTTAGGTAGCGTGCGTGTGGATCTTGGATACTGAAAGGCATTGCAAAAATTATCTGTGGGAGCACTTTTGGAAATTCTTACTTGAGAAGTTGTTGATAGGTTGGGGGGGGGGTGGATTTAGGCAAGATTGGTTTAAGCAGCATGACAGAACATCGGCAACAAACACTTTGCTTCACTAAATAAGTCACTAGTACAAAAGGTTCTGCGTAAGTGTGCTGTATTTCAAGAAGACCTGTTTGGAACAATGCTGAATTTTAGAGGTTTCAATAATTTGCTCACGTTGATTTCTTTAACTAAGCCTTTATTCCAGATGAAAAAGCTGTTCACTTTATTCAGGCAGAGAAGATGTATTACGAGACAGCACTGATTGATATTGTAAATCTACAGAAACAATTTGGTATGATTTTACCCCATCCCGATAAGACATATTTTCGGGCTTGCTGTAGTTGTGTAGCATAGGTTTACCACAAATCACCCTAGAAAATAAAAACACATTCAAATAAATGTATAAAACTAAAGTTTTAACATTGAATTTCTGATTTTCAGCATTCACATGAAGTTACAAATGACCTTTTGTACTCTAATTTGCCGACAATAACAGTGTTTTGGCTGACAGCATGACTAATGTGGTTACCTCCCCCCACCCCCCCCCCCCACCCCCACCATCACCATCCCTTGGGAGAGGGGGTGTTCGGACCACTGAACCCCCATCCCTTCTCCCTAAACACGTCCGTGAAGGAAATTAGGGTTAGATGTGTCTAGGCATAGAAGCTAGAACATCTTGTTTGTGTGCTTACTTTGCATTGCTTGTCTATAAACTTAGAGCTGCTTTTATAGGTTTTTGAAATGTACACTTGTTGTTCGACGCTGTAGAATCGAACAGTGAAGAGAACAACGAGGACCTAACTACAGAGAAAGGAGACGTTTCATCCCAAGCTGGTCCTGACTCACCAGAGATCATTAAGGCCAAGGAATACGAGAACCTCGCCAAACTATGCCTGAAAGAATCCAAGTATGTGAAAAAAACTTTAAGTAATGATTTTTTGGAATGCAAGAATTTGGGAAATTTTGGGAGGTAATAGTACTTTCTAAAGGAAAAATATACAAAAATTGATCTTCTTTGGACAATAGTAACAATTAAAAAAAAAAAAATTATTTGGGGACTGCGAAATTTGAAGCAAAAATGTGAAACTTTTTATCATGTCATAGCGAAATGCAGAAAGGAGACATTTATTAAAAGAGACAAAAATTGGGCTGGACTGGTATCGTAAGGTGAGGCCGAACTCCTAGTCAGCAACTGAGGCGTCTGGCAATTGAAGAAATCAATATAGAGCGATTCACGGGAAGTTTATGCTTGCTTATTTTTCATGGATAGCTTAGTTCAGTTTTGGGGTTTTTTGGGTCAATCATGTCACTGATGATTAGATATTTTGTTTGAGTAGTTTGGCAGTTGATTAAATTTACCATTGGTTTGTCAATCAATGAATTGCTTTGCAGAATGACCACAGCAATGTAATTTACAAATTCAATTTTTCAGTTGTCTACTGATTGCTTGATGCATTATTACTATCATGAACTGGTTAGACTGTCTCTTGATTTTATTAAATTAATGACCCAATTGATTTAAATGACAGCATTCCTCGTATCATTCCGTGCAGTGATTCACATAATTGATATTTTAAATTCATTGTTTCAGTGGCTGATTGAATGGCTGAAACCTTTAATAGTTTGACTGTGGAGACCCTTGTAACCAATCTCAGACACTTTCAATTTCTTGTCTTCTCTTTTGTTTGTCATTTCAGACCACAACTTGCTCTTGAATACTGTGGAAAGGTATTGTCCATCTGGGGTTATTTGTAATCAAATATGTAGGCTGACAGGAAACGTGATTTGTTTACAAGAAATGGCTGCTGCTTTCGTATCTGTAGCAGTTTTGCAAGGATTTGAATTCATGGAAGTGACTCTGTGCTATTCAGATTTGGTCTTGCGGCACAGTTGACAGATGCATCTATGAAAGATCGGGAATATTTAGCAGGTTCATATATTTTAATGAACCATTCCAGATGAGAACTGGTATACCAGGCATGTCTCACTTGCACTGTCAGGTTGTTTTAGAAAGGTGCGTGAAAATTTTCACAACACAATTTCGTGAAGAATATATGGGCTCCGTGCGCCAACACAAGAGGGCATTTTTTTTACCACTTTTGAGTTAATGCCACCCATGTACGGGACACTCCGTACATGTGTTCCTATAGCTACTGGTTCAAAAACCTATAGCGTGAAGTACGTATGACTTAGTTCTGAATGTGCACAAAGCCATAGTGTCTTCGTGTGAGCGTCCGGCGTCGTCGGAAATGGGTTCAAATGTCACTCCAAGTAATCTCCCTAACTGTCCCTTTCTTGCCGGTGAGGGGGTGCTTGTGCACGGAGTCCATAGTTGTGAAACACCCTGCGTGAACATTAAATGAAAATATGTTATCGTTTTCTCTCAGGCAACCAAAGTATATCGAGAGGTATATGGGGATTCACATCCAGTCACTGTGGGATCCCTGGATCTTTTCACTCTCATCTATGCAGACGTTGGCAAGAAACTATATGCAGGTAAAACAAGGTTTCAATTCCCTCTCCAACCCCCCCCCCCAAAAAAAATTTGATTTAGTCTAACTGCAGCAAGGGCAACTTCATTGGGGTTCTAGAAGACATCCCAGAACATAAAGTTTACTTTAAAAGAAACAAGCGTGAGTTGGGGATGGGAGATATGCTGATGATATAAATGTGTCATGGTTACAAGAGAGGTGGTTCATTGTTTGCAACCTTTCCTTCATTTTGAATTTTTACTCAAAATTGTCAATTGGAAAATTAGTGGATGGTGTATGCGCCCACCACCGTGCACAAAGATGATACATGAGTCAGTATGCAGGGTTTCAAATTGCCACTGCTTATAGATATCCATGCTCATACAGACGGACAGTTATAAGGACATTAATCAAAATAGTGTACACATTATCTAATATAGCAGACGGTTACTGATATGATGAATTTGGATATTAATTAAACGTAATATCCTTGTAAACTTGAGTATCCTATGTCATTATACAAGTACTAAATGTTTATGAGTGTAATAGAAAGTATAATGTTACGAGGTGACAGATGGAATGTACACCTTATGGAAATGAACAGTCCATCTGTTAGGCCAAAAAAAAAATACTCGGTCTCTGGTCAGCGGGCGCGTCGATTTTAATCACGCGCGTCAACCTTTTTTTTTCTTCAAATTAACACGGAAGCTACAACAGTGCCCTCCATTGCCGCGCCTCCTCAAATTTTTGTACCAAGGAGCACCAAGGAATGGGGAAATTGCACCAAGGCAAATGATAAAGGGCACCAAGGCAAATTATGGAGGACACCAATGTATAACGAGGACACAAAAAAGCAAAATAGTACCCACCTTGTCTGTACTATTCAAGCTTGAAAAAAAAAAGCCACCAAAAAAAAAAAACACGTCGCGACATCAATTCCGGAACTTCGGTCTGACCAGAGACCGACAATTTTCTTTTTTGGCCTTACCGAATGAAATTATTCCTTTCTTTGCGCAAATGTGAAACATTATGATTATTTGTAGTATAAAACACCTGAATTAATCTTTGTCATTTGACTGATTGCTTGCGTGGCTGTCCAATGGAACTTCTATTCTTGCGATGCCTCCGGGCCGTGTGTTGGGACAAATTCATTTGACACCTGATCAACTACCAACCAATCGGTTGATGGGGATTTATTCAAATATAGATACATCCCTCTCAATCAAGTAAAGCTTTCCGTCGCTACAATGTACACACAGTGTGTACACTACATTGCGCATGCTGTATCAAAATTTGAATTTCTATGAGCAAATTTCATGGCGCTGCTTAACAGCAGAAAAGGCGTGCTTACTGTAGCAGAAAATGTTGCTAACCTTCAGCACTATTTCATGGTGTGGATGTGCTGATGGTTGCATGCGTATGGAGATGTCTATTGTTACTTCACCTAATCAAGCAACTTTGTAACTTTGAGGTAAGCACGCCTTTTGCTGCGCATATATTTAAGGTCTTCAAGAAATAGACGGAGGCTGTATTAGCAGTGCCATGAAATTGGGCCCTGTTGTTTAGGCCACACCATTTGTTTAGAAGGCCTCTCAAGATGGCATCCAAATAACTTCTGTCTGTGTTTTTGAAGCACTATCCAGTCAGTATAAAGTGGATATGTAATCATGTTCCACAAACTGAGTTAAGCATCTAATTATGCTCATTCAAAACCTGAGGTGAATGCCAAATATCATTTACCCTATAATCTCTACCATATATCCTCCAATTTCCACTGTGCACTTTGAAGGGTTTTGAAGTGTCTTTATTATGCCCTCGATAGATGCCATGCAAAAGTTTGACGCAGAGGAAAAAGTCCTGGAAACAAGTTCAGCTGAGTCACAGCCAAAGAAGAGTGATCAGGAAACAACTGCTGGAGAAGAGACTACAAATGAGCTCAGACAGAGGTAAGACCAACAAGGTACCTTTGAGAAGAACAAGTAGGTAAAAAGTTCTGTGGGGTGCTGTGGTCCAGTGTTATGGTGTTCGACTCATGTGCCGTGGTACGTGAGTTCGAACCCTGAAGGGGAACATGGTGCTTGTGTTCTTGGGCAAGACACTATACTACAATGGCCTCTCCCCAATTCTGCTTTGAACATAAAATACTGCCAAAGAAATGTAACAGATTTATAGCTGTGTACTATTTCCCATTAGTCTAGAAAGAAAAACATTTAACCAGAATAGTCATTTACCCTGTTCATAAGCGTATTATATTTATGTTTATTTGAAGATCAAAAGATGACAGTGTGATCCAGCCTGCAGCAGAAACTGATCCACAGACTAGAACGGAGTTCGAACCAGCACCGCAACCAGAGGAACAAGGTATCTATCTAAATACAAAGCAAGTTTGACATCACAATCCTTCCAGTTGACATTCCCCAGAGTGGAAACATGTTACCAATCCCCAGAGTGGAAATGTGTTACCAAGTCACATTTGCATTTCTTTTGGCACTGAGAATGAACGGATCTTCAAGATAAATTTTAGTTCTGTGAAGTACATCAAGGCGGAGAGAAGAGAAATGTACTGCACAAATAGTAAGTTTGCTGATAATTATGGTGCTTTGGGCTAAATTTTGACTGACTGACAAAAGAGAGTTTTCAAAATTCAGCTGTGGGTTTTTTCTGTTCAGTCTTCCTTTAGTTAACCAGTTCATGCCTAGAATTTCCCAGTACCAGATTGTCCCCAGAATTTGTCATATTTGGGACAAAAAGTTTGTCCCAAACCTTGCCAAAGGTTGGCACTGAAAGCTTCCAGTTTTTACGCATTGACCTATTGGTATGAATGCTATGCAGTTTGCATTTTGCAGCATAACTTCCATGTACATGTTTGTCCTTCGTGCCTGCTGGAGTTACTCAGCTCACTATATGATTTCAAGAAATTGGAACCAAAATATGTGAGGTGTTCTGGCGAAATGGGACGGAACTGGGCACAGGCCATAGTGGAGAATAATGCAAAAACTGAATGGGGTTGATTTTTTTTGAGTTTCAGATTTATTGACATTTATAACCTTTGATATATCTACCACACATATTTTAATGACAAAGTACGAAAATCGTGGAATAAAATTGATTTGAAGGAAAACCAATTGGCATCTTTTTTATTTGCCGGACTTTGTCAGCATTTTACTTTTGGATATTTCGATAGGGCGATAAGTGTAAACTTTAAACAGCCATAACTTGCCACCTGAATGTCCGATTGAAGTACAACAAATAGTATTGTTAGGAGAATTTTCTTTTCTTTCGAAGTCTTTCCTAAATACTCGCAAACCCTCATTTTGACCTCTGCCCAGTTGTGTCTTATTTTACCAGAGCGCCTCACATATGACCTTGTGAACAGGATCCCTTTTCCCACAGCCACATTCAGCTAGGATCATGTTGTCATGACCAGCCCATTTTCCTTTTCACAGATGACTGGGTGACAACATGTCTCTTGATGCTGCTGTTTCTCCTGATCACCTTCCTAGTCCTGCTCATCATGTCCTACTTTTACTGCCTGGGCAACGAGCGCTCGTCCATCTGCCATCAGTTCAAGGGAGACCTGAGCTATTGGTACATGAAGATCAAGCACTACTATCTGGGGTTTGGCAAACGCTGAACCGTTCGTTGTCATCTCGCATGATTGGCATACTATCTGTAGTTTAAAGGTAGAGTACATCATTTGCAGCTATCCAAAAGGTAACTGACAAAATTATTGTTGAAAAACATACTTGCTTTTAAAGATAGTAATGTCACTAAACTCCCTGTGAAATTATTCTTTCTTCTTTCCTATCATTTTGAAAGAAACAATAAAAGAAGGTCAGTTCCAAAGATGCGTCTAAGACACATTTTTGGAAATTTCCGTTAGTAGTTCGTTTTTAATTCAGCGAAGCCATGAATGGGTGCGCGCAAGCGTTGACACGACGCACAGGAGCACGGTTGCTATAATTCGTTGGTTCAGTGCGTGACATCGCGTAGCTGCAATCGGCTGAATGAGAACGTGTCCCAGACGCTGATTTTGGGTGCAATTCAAAACATGACTTGGCAACTTTTGAATTGAAATCGAGATCCTAGAATATTATTTTCTCGGAATATTCAGCATTCACTGAGCTAGAACGTAATCAGGTTAGTTGTTAAGCTCCCGTCTTTAGATTTTGAGCACTTTTGTTGCTTCATACGAAAAAAATCCACAAATGACAAATGATACACTCTACCTTTAAACTTCATAGTGTTTCAGTAGACTGATTGCTTATGCCCCACGCTATGATGCTCGACTAATCACAGCCTTGAGTAATGCATGCACAAAAGCCCGATATTTGCATACACTTATGATGCACACGGCTGGAACATGCAGTATGGCATTGAAGAGGAGCGCTTGTTGCTTCCCAAACTGCGCAGTGGGTGGGGCTTAGTGGATCGGTGATTGAATATTCAAAGCTGGACATTATTGGGAGTTTCTTTTTCATTTTTTTTTTGGTCGTAACTAGGACGCTCCCATGCCTGGATGCATATTATGTGTTAGTGTTCCGCGCAATCCATTTCATTTCAGTGATGTGTTTGGAACTTTGCAAAATGCACACAGAGCTTGGACTTAGGAGGGAACCATAATAGAGGGCGCCACCAAGAGGTGGGTATAGAAAGGTACTTTTTCGCAGCACTTAGCCAAAACCCGTGGACAAAAAGTTATTAATTTTGCACAAGGAATCAGCAGTTTTACATTTATATTGTGCACTATTTAATAACCATTTGAGTTATTAGTGTGATAAAAATGATTTTTATTTACTAGACTTCTCAAGGTATTTGTGTATGTATAGTAGCCTACTGTTTGTGGTACTGCAAACAATGAAGGGTGAGTCAATAACTGTTGAATAATGTGCAGAATGTTGACACCCTGATAAATACAGGCCTCATCTTTTTAGCCAAAGAGAGCAGCATAAGGACACTTTTTTGAGGGCATAAGCAGACATTTAGCAAAGGTCTTTAATGTAAGTTCACATGTCGCTTCACGTCAAAAATTGCATTTCAGGGCAAGTCCAAGAATTCGCGCACGCTATGTCCCATACGTAACAAAAGTTGAGCCCTCTAAGACATTCATGGATTTCAGTGGTTCTTTGGTACAACTGTTTGACATCTACAAGGAGAAAACCCACAATAATGTTTATGTTGTTCGTCTTTGCGATGATGATGTAATTAAAGAAAACATGGCATTACATATGGGACAGAAAGGGGACCTATTCTTGGACTTGCCCTTTAACAATCTGTATTTTTTTTTTTAGATTTAAGTAAATATACTAAACTGCTTTAATGATCAGGATTTTTCTATTTGATATGCAGTGCCCTATATTTGTTTAAAAGTATGTACTTTTGATCCATTGGTGGCTCTTTGTATTGTGAGTTTCCCCTACTGGCTTATACGACTGATCCGGTCATTTTCTGTGGCAGCACCACGCTCGTGCGAGTTGCCCTCAGGTAGTAGGCATGCACTCTGAGCTCCTTTGACCAATAGAGTAACCAAAATGTGTGCGCGCCTTGTCTTTAAGAAGGCATGCAGCATTTGCAGTCACGGCTTCTTTTTCTGGTCGCCAGATTCCACTATAGACTGATCCCGCGGCAGCCATTTTCTGAGGCAGCACCAGGCTTGCGCGAGTCACGCTCAGGTACAATGTAGTACACAGGCACTCTGGGCTCCTTCGACCAATAGGGTTACCAAAATACGTGCACACCTGGTCTTCAAGAACGCGTGCAGCATGTGCGTGAGCGAAACACCACCGCAGTAAAAGCTTCTGACTCTGGTCGCCGGATTCCACTATAGACTAATCGGTCGACAGCCATTTTCTGAGGCAGCACCAGGCTCGCGCGAGTCACTTTCGGGTAGTACACACGCACTCTGGGCTCCTTCGACCAATAGGGTTACCAAAATGCGTGCATGCCTTGTCTTTAAGAACGCATGCTGCGTGAGCGTGACACCACCACAGTAACGGCTTCTTTTTCTGGTTGCCAGATTCCACATAGACTGATCCCGCGGCAGTCATTTTCATAGGTGGCACCAGGCTGGCGCGAGTCACGCTCAGGGAGTACGCACGCACTCTGGGCTCCTTCGACCAATAGGGTTACCAAAATGCATGCACGCCTTGTCTTTAAGAACGCGCGCAGTGTGTGAGTGAGTGAAACACCACCGCAGTAAAAGCTTCTGATTCTGGTCGCCGGATCCCACTATAGACTAATCCGGCGACAGCCATTTTCTGAGGCAGCACCAAGCTCGCGCGAGTCGTAGTACGCAGGCACTCTGGGCTCCTTTGACCCATAGGGTTACCAAAATACGTGCGCGTGCGCCTTGTCTTTAAGAACGCGTGCAGCATGCGCATGAGCATGACACCACTACAGTAACAGCTTCTAATTCTGGTCGCCATTTTCCGCTATACATCCTCCGTGGACTCATCCTTTGAATCATGAAGGTAGAATTGATCAAAGGTGTTAAGTACTCATTCATTGTTTTTGTCCCAGTTTAACATACTTCATAGCAACTCAAATTTACTATAAAGAAATTTTCTTAAAAGATTATGCAGTCTATAAAATATTCTGCAAATTTTGTATTCATAATTGTGATTAACAAATAAAATGATTTGTAAGTATATTCTGGAATTTAGTGTTTGCATGATTTTTTGCATTAATTAGATACTTGCTGTGCATGAAATTAATATGTGTAGTTTTATTCAATAATTATTGAAATTATCTGCAATTTCTACAGATGTGCATTATTGTTCCAAGAACTTGTTGTTTCCGTCCATTTCTTTTTACAGTTTGAGGTTATTCATCATGTACACATTTTGAAGTTATATTTAAATTTTCCGTCCAATTTATATGTTTAAGAAATTATCAGTTTCTTAATGATTACAAATTGCCTAGAGACAGGGGGAATTTTGTGAGAATGTTCACAAAATACTACAAGGGTTCTTTTGACATAGTTTCTTACTATTTCATTAAATTTCTATTAAACTGAACCATTTTCAAGTTGTTATATTTCTTTTGTTAATTAAACTGAACGTATACATTTATTGCTTATTATACCAGTGATAACACAGAAGCAGACAGGTTATAGCTAGATCAGTCGTTCCAATGTTGAAATAATTTCAAATTCTACATTAATAAGTATTCATAAATACAGAAAGTTTACCCATTCCCATGGGTCAAGAGCCTGTCACACACTCTCGAATTTGTATCCTTGTGGAGACATTTCTTTGTTCTTGTGTAGTAAAGTTTTCGATTTTAAAAGTGAAGTTTCAAAATGCTGTTATTTTAACCAGAATTAATTTCCTTGGCTGAAATTCGGACTTAATATCCCTTTTCTAAAACTCTTCCATTTGCGACGGATCAACCCACCTTGAAAATTCCTAGTTTTTGAGTAAAATCCATATATCTATTTCGTGAAAACCTTGTGGAGACCTATTCATCTATAGAAATTGCCCTGTGGAGACCTTTACAATGTTTTGTTCCATATTGTGTGCGTGTCTCCACAAGGATACAAATTTGAGCACACCTATAAAGACATGGCTAGCTGGTCTTAAACACTTTTCCAGTGTCACATGAAATTTGGATTCCTATGAAATCCAGTGCCTTTTACCGTTCTATTGGTTGAACGTTCACTATCCTCTCGTACGCATGCGCAATACTACCAGCGCGTCGGTATTTCATAGTCCTAAATTCACAACGCACTCAACTCACCTGCATCTGCACCGAAAAGGTATCTATGAATGGGAATAAATGTGCTTGTGAGGTGTTAAACACTATGTTTAAGACTGCATAGATTATTGGTTGGAGTCTGAAATCATGATAATTACCCGAGGCGAAGCATCTGCAGAATTACATGTATCAGCATTGCAGACTCCAACAAGTCTTAAACATATTGTTTAACACCTCCCAAGCACAGTTTAGGCTTCATGCAGTTTGGACATAGTTCCAGTTCATCGAAATCTCATACACAAAAGGCTAAAGGCAATTTTCAAATTAAAAGATTTGTTTAAAAGTACTTTAAAAGTCGGAGTTTTTCAAGGTAAGACGAAAACTGGCCTTGATGTGCCGGCTGCTCTCTGAGGCAGATGTTGAAAACAATTACGACGGATGACGGAGACGAAGTTTATAGAATTGGCTATTTTTCATTTCTCCATGGATTTTGAAAGGCCAGAGACGTCAGGCAGCATGCATGGGAAGACACGGGAAAAGAAGTGGGTCAAAGTCGCCTAATCTCGTTTGGGTACGGAATCGATAGTTGAACGAAAGGCTGGGTATTCCAACAGACTGAATGGGCATGGACATAAAGGTATAGCTATAGGCCTACATTCGTCCGGAGAGCGCCGACATTTAGGGTGGTTTTTTTCTCAATGTTGCATATTGGCAATGTTAAATATTGGCAAAGTTAAAAAAAAAATGTTTCCTTAAATCTGACGCGGTAGCCTTTTTTCCTCAGCCTCATGCCAACATTCAAGCGGCGGGGAAAAATGCCAAAGCTGTCGTTGGAAGACCGAAATTCGGACTGAGTGATGCATGCATAAACGTGGAACACTGCTCGGAGAAGGTTGCCGTTGATGTCACCATTTTGCGTCGTTATTATGATCGACCACATTATCTGCAATGGCATCTTCGAGTTATAATGAGATGAAGACATGTTGGCGTGATGAAATATCCATACAAAAGCCCACGTCTCCCACGCGTAGACTTATCGCATTATGGCAAACTGGTCCTGCTTTTTTCACTGTGACGCAACCACCCATCAGCACATCAGATCATTCTCCATGCATTGCACATCTACACATTATCCACTGATATCTCGGTATGGATACCCGGCTCGATCTTCTTCAGCTGTGGTGCTAGCAACATCGCCAGAAATCCAACGAAAGACGACACCGCCGAAATGTAGAACACAACAGAAAAAGTGCCACTCGCATCGTACAGGGAACCTAAAAAGGTATCCAAGGCAATTCAGTAGGTTAAAAAATGATTGACTAGTAATACAAGAAACGTCACAGCATTATAAAGTGTTTCGAACAACTTCCATTCACTGACATTTATGTAATAACAATTCCCTTAAACACATTACTTTTAACCTATAAAGCGTAATGTGTTGCGATATACCAGTGTTTTAATAGCACGATGCGCTGCTTCAAATCAAAGGGGGAAAACATGATATGCTTAGCGATGTAGCCTACCTGCTACTATAGGGCCAATTAGATCAGCCACCCCTCCGATGGCGCTGTAGATGCCAATAGCTGATCCCAAGTTATCAACACCAACAAATTCACGTAGCATCACGCGGCTGGCTGTATTCTGGAACCCGTGTGCCAATCCAAACATGGATGCTGAGATGACGAAGTAAGGGTAGGTATTAAGTAGTGCTATCAGAACAAAGCAAGCGCTGGCAAACATCGCTACTTCGAAAATTATTAAGGATGGAACCTTTTGATTGACGAGACCGCTGAGAGGGCGCCCTATGAAGCTACCGATCCCGAAGGCAGTAATGAGCAAGGCAGCCCTCTGGTCTTCAATGCCGGATGAATTGGCAAATGGGACGATGTAGACGATGAAGGACCCGTAGCAAAGGATGAAGGTTGCCTGGACGAAGCAAAACATGGACAATCGGTAGCTTTGACGAAGCAAGTTCAGTCGAAAGAGCTTGACTGTTCCGTAGAATAAACACTTGAGTGAATATTTTCTGGCTATTGTAAACGTCACGGTAACAGCCTGACGGTTAGCTGAATGTTCATCGGTGTGATCCGCAGGAATCGTTCTTTTACGGGATGGTAGATGTGGTCGAAAGGCAACCCCAGCCGCACAGATATTTGCAGTGACTGCACAGGTTACAGCAATGCCCCCCTCCAGCCATAGGTGTCGACTAAAAACTGGATGAACGGACCGAATACAACCAATCCGAGGGCATTTCCAGCCGCCATAAACCCACATGCCAATGGGTAGCGTTTGTCGTGATACTTGGCGACTATGACAATTGCCGCTGCATATGCAACCCCGTTGCCAGTTCCTTACAAAATGGATATCAAAGAGATTTGTTAGAGTTTCTTGAAATGAAGAACATGTACAATCATAGGAATGTTCAGGGTGGTCACGGGCGCGTCACCAGGAGTTTTCTATGGGGGGGGGGGGGGGGTAAAATGAAGAATGGTCAAGCAGACCGCCCTGTACTGAAAGGTACTAGGTAGCCAGGAATCTGTCCTCATGTTATCCGTCCGTCGCAAAATAAAAAGGGATGGGCAAGTGCCCCCGCCCCCTTGCGACGGCCATGGATATCGTCAATGGTTGAAGTAGATGGTCATCAAACAGTTGCGACCTTCTCCAGTCCCCCTGCTGAGCCTGATGATGATGACTAGAACGATGATAATATCACTGATGGCGATGACGTTGATACCAGCAATGATATAGGTCTACGGCATCATCTGGAAAAGTTATTTCAAACTATACTATGGCCAGGGATAGCCAAAAATTAACCCGAAAAATCTCCACAGAGTAGTCAGCGGAGCAGACTTAATAAATGAAGTGAACTCACCTACAACAGCAGACATGACGTACATCTGATAGATATTTCTAGCCAAGATGATACCAATCATTCCCATGATGTTAATCAAGCCAGCGAGTACAGTCGTTATGCGACACCCAAAGCGATTCCCCAATACACCGCTTAGGGTACCTGTAACAGAAGAGGCTTGGATTAGTGTTTCAAATATGTGATATTATAATGTAGACTCTACCCGATGGGTGGAGGACATATTGTAGCTTTTTACATAAGTGTCTACATGTACTTACAGCCGTAAAATGTGAAAGACGAAACAATGCTTGAAATGGCACCAGTCTGGGCTGAGGTAATCTGGAATGCATTTTGGAAACTGGAGAACAATACCCCGGTACAACGCGTCATCGCTGTGATAAGAAGATGCACAGTGAATGAGGCAAGAACCACCACGATTCCCCAAGGGCAACCTCCTCTCCTTAGACGGTGCTTTCCCATGATTTCACTTAAATAACGCCCAAACGCCTGCAAGAGAAAATTATGCATGATAATTATTTGACAAATTGGTTTTTCAACAGGAGCTCGAGTTTAAAGGCAAATTAAGCATAAAATACTTCACTTTTGAAAAAAAATCCGCAGGGTGAGTAAAAAAAAAAGTCCCTTTGGATAATTCGTTTTTCCCACAAAACGGGAAAGGTTACCAGTTGTTCTCTGTAGCCAACATTCGATCTGGGTATTGACTACATTACATATTTCACTGATATTCATCCATGCATGCAAAGGATACATTCTTTGTTACTACCCCAAGCCAAGCCACTGCCAACACAATGTTTCCTAATATTTTTAAGGGAGTATTTCACGTTTATTGAATGGCGCAAACAAGAACCTGAACAAGAGGCGCCAATATCTTATCCCCATTTGATTTTTTTCTTCCTTGGGGGTACCTCAAGGACCGGGTGTACCGCATTGTGCCAAACATCCTGCAGGATTTTCGCCAACGAATTACTGGTGAAATCTAAGCCCTTTATGCATTGATCCGGCGAATGACAAACAGGTGGAGGGTCGAGAAGCAGGACAGTGAAAATGTGAACTTCATCTGTAATTCAGTTTCAAGTTCAATAAATGTAATTCCATTCAATTGATGTCCTGTTCTTTTATTCCATTTATTTTCTTCATTGTCCTGAGGCCCATTGTTGCCATTGTGTTCGTAGCAAAAGGCCTATTCTGAACATTGTGTTGGTAGTGTTTAAATTGTTCCATGCTGCTCCTGGTGGTGGTGGTGGTGCAGCTGATAATGCTGCAACAGATGCTAATATACTGCTGACCGTGTTTTTCCTCCTATAGATACTTCTTCTACTGCTGCTGCTGCTACTGATGCTGCTGCCACTGTCCCTGCTCCGCTGCTAATATTCTTTTTGCTACTACTTATGCTGCTGCTGAGACTGCTAAGATAACTGCAGCTATTTGACGCTCAAAAAAAGTTAACAAGGAAATGTTACCTTACCTTTCTGGAAAGCGGTCACTCTCTTGATTTGATTTGATTTGATTTGATTTGATTTGATTTGTTTTACTCGATGGATGATTCAATGCACTTGTCTTGCTACCACCTAAATGGGAAATTAACGTTGTTAATTAACATCCATTGTCTGCATTAAAGAATTCCAAAACCGTCGGCACCCTACATACGCGGACTGTGTCAGTGAGCGCAAAGTTAGGCTATAGTACTATAATAATATACTCTTGTGTTTTGTGAAACAACTGAACTCGCTGATTTACTACGTTAATGTTTTATAGACTGAAATTAAACTTAACTTGTACCTGGTAGATACAAACGCTTTAAGTGTTAATTCCGGGTGTTGCATTACCGATCTTATAGCGTTCCCGTATACACCTTGGACTTTGTAATATTCAGACATAATTATAGTATATAGGTTCAATAATGTCAAAGTATAATGCATAGGGTAGATAACGAATAATTCACCCTTGTGGGTCAAGTGCCAATAATCCAAGTGAATATATGAGTTTTGTTCATCCCAGTATTTACATAATTTGTTTGGCCTTATGAGAAGGCCAGGATTATCAAATAAGCACAGTAGGCCCTAGGGCCTACGAAAAATTCGGGGTCCTTCGAACATTCCGCAGTTTGCCATAAAACACATACACACACACACGTGTGTAAATGCCGGCAATCGTGGACGCCCCATTGTCCCTAATCCTCTTTCCTTTGTTTGTACTCTTTTTAGCGACAGCTCTCATTGGTTTTGTACACGATTTGAGATCGTGGACGTTCGGTCAATCGTGGACGTATTGTTTGCGCCCCAATTCTTTTGTCCTACGTCCACGATTGCCGGTGTTTACATACTCACCCACACACACTCACGCAGGGAAAAGGTTTTTTTTTTAGTTTTTAAATAGGTTTTAGGGTCTTTGTCGGAATTTTCGTGGGGGACGGGGGAAATGTCGTTTCGCCCCCCCCCCCCCCCAACTATAGCTCAGAATAGCTGATTCAATGACTCCAAACTCGAAAATGATGTAAACCGATGATTTTTTTCCAAATTTTTTTGGGTTAAACTTAAAGTGGTCAGAAACTGCCTCAGATCGCACCAATGCGCGTCCCCGAACCCCTCGCCGTTTAGGCTTCGCACTCGCATAGTTCTGATCAAGATACACATGTAACCCCCACTTTTCGGAAGCGATGGATGCCCTTGGCAGCTGCCTAGAGCTTGGACCTTCACCAGTTTGGCCTAGCCTGGCTTGATATGTACAGTAGTTTGTACCTTGAATTTGGTGCCGGTACCCAAAGCGGAGTAGGGCCTGCGGAACACTGGTGCCTACGGCCAACGAAACACTCGATACGGGCCTACTTATGAGGTTCGGGTACCAGGGAAAAAACTAAGGGAACTTCATCAAGTCGATCTTCATAAATCTCATGACCTAGTAGGTAAAACGCTTTGAAGTTTAAGATCTCAACAAAAGCAAATGGGAACAAAAAGCACTAAAGTAATTTATAGCCTAGTGGCTTGTGGGGGACCCATATGCAGTTTGGGGTACAATCTTCGAAACTCTCAGGAACACTTATGGATATCTCAAGAAGTTCAAAACCACTTGTCATTTTTCCCGACCCCTTCAAGCGCGGGACCATGACATTTTTCTACTCACTCTTCTACTTCACATTATTTTGGACAGATGGGTAAAAGCGCAACATCATAAGAATAATAAATTCGTTTGGGGGTGGGGCCTCATTAACAAAGATATGGGAGCAGTAAGCGTAAACAAACAATCTAGCTGTAAAGGGCAACTCTATCCAATATTATGTGAAATGGTTTAGGCAGAATGTTTTCATGTCAAATCAAAACTTATTGTTCCCCTTAGCCCCCTTTAGGGGCGTTTCAAAAGTTTTTAGCTCTGGCAGGAGCTTCTACATACGTCTCTTCGTGGTTCCGAAACGCGTCTTCCTCATAGCAAAATAGTGTATCTTGGAAAAAAAACGCATTTTCTTTCGAGAAAAATCAGTTTTAACGTTCAGGGTCTTCTTTTTTTCTATTTTACCATTAATTAAACTAATTTTTCTACCACAGATTGTGAATACTGTTGTAAATAAACAGTGGAAATTTCAGCTTCTTGTCTTTGCTGTGTTTTGGATAGAGGCAATTTGAAAACAGTTACACCATTTTTACCACAAACATAATTAAAAGGCCCATTTTGGTAAAAGGGTGCATCTTTAGAAAGTATATCCAAATGTACTATTATTGCATTTCTACGATGCGTATAACACACTGCCTAGCAAAAAAATTGTATCTTTTATAGCTACGCTCTTTTGCCTTGTCATATCTGGTCACATCTTGCACAACTTGAACAGGGTGTATCTCAATATGCACCCTTTTGTCAAAGGAACTGAATCAAACAAGCACGGTTTTGCACGAGATACGCCCTGTCATCTTTGAAACGGAAGGCCGTGTCGACTTGAGGGTTCGTTTAATGGAAACAGCGCCCCCGATAACCCCCAAAATGACTTTATCTCAAAAAGGTCAAAATCGAAGTGACGGTCGTATATATATAACGACCAATTGACAAAAAATTTGACCAAATGCCATGCCCTCGTCAGTAAATGCACTCTTGGCAAAAGTTTTCGGAACAAGCCCCTTTAGTGTCTCCATCGATGCGCATGCGCGTCTATTTTGCATATGAAGTGAGACATTCCGGAACCGGGCCAGAACTTACTGTACACTCGCGCTTGTTTCCTTAAAAGTTGGTACATCTGACATATATGAACAAAAGACCAACAATCTAACCTAAAGTTTGATTTTGAAAACATGCAATAAACAAACATGGACAAAATAATTTTATATTCCTATGAAATGGTATGTTATTGTTTTTAGGCGTAAAACAAAAATGTCCAAAAGTGGTAGGAAAGGAGGGATTTCACATTAAAGTCAAAATTTATGTAATTTTCGGTGTGAGATCAGCGAAATAAAAGTTTGCATTACTATACATCTGTAAAGGTATCTCAAATTGCTAATATCACATTGTCAAAAGTTGAGGTTCAACATGTGATTCTAAATTCAAACTTTTCATATACATGTATTGTAAAAGGTCGCGGTAAACGACTCTCCTTTTTGGCTTACTTCGCCAAATTTTTTAAAATGGACGCCCCGACTACAAAAAGGTTGGGGGAAAAAAATGGGTTTTAAATTGTACGTATTCATTTCGGCTAAAATAAACAAAACAAAACATTGCCCCGATAAACTATTTTCTGATGTAAGAAAAAAATAGCGTCAATTGGACTGGGATTTATAGTGTTTCGTTATTAACTAGACAGTTATCCCTGAAATTTAAAAATAATGTACCCAAATTTGCATATGGGAGATTTTTTTGTACCGCAAGCTAGTAAACATAATCACTTAATAATCACTTCAAACTAAGGTAACCGAATTGGTGTAAATTACGTTCTGCACACGCGTGATAACCACGAGAAAGCATTAATGCGATTTTTGTACACAGTCCCTTGATTATAACGTGTAATTTTACCCGTTTTAATAACGCAACTTGCCCAATCTTGCATCACGTTCAAACAAAAACGTAAAACGCACGTTAGTAGCTCGTTGTATTATCACGTTCTGCACACCTAATAAAAAAGTTATTGTCAGGTTTTTAAATCAGGTTTTGCACACTTAATATATACGTGAATCGTTCGCTCTGTGATCACGTTTTGCACGACTCATATTTACGTTACCAACTGTGTGTGAATTACGTTAGGCACACGCGTGATAACCGCGTGAAAGCGTTAATGCGATTTTTCTACACAGACACTTGATTTCAAAAACACGGCAATATAACGCTGATTGCCGGATCTTGTATCACGTTTTGCATACCTAAAACCCCCGTTATTGTCTGTTTTTTATTAATCACGTCTTGCACACCTGAAACTAACGTTATTGCTTCGTTCTTTTGTCACGTTTTGAACCCCTCCTAGTCACGTTTGTGGTGTGAATTAAGTTTAGTTATACTAGCAATTTCCAAGGTTCGGCGATACGGTTCCTGAAACTCAATTAATATTGGTTATT